TGAAATGTAATTATTATGTGCAATTTTATGTAATTAAAAATTTTCGATGTGCAAGACTTTTGTCCAGGTAGTGTATTATGTATTGATATATTTTTTTAAAGTTTGTATTTTAGCTCTTTTTTTTGATACCAGATATAATGACCAGTTTCTAAAATAATAATTCACTAAATTGGTAATATTTGATTCTAATTTTGGTGAGCATGACACTCTCAAATTTTCTAATATTATTATAATTCTATCCAAAACTTTTTGTTCTAATTTGATGAAAGGTAATAGAGAAATTTTTGTTGTTTTTGGTGATTAATTAATTATGTTCTATATAATCTGGATATAATTTTGTTCTATCACTACATTGACTTCTTGATAAATGAATTAGATATCTTGTTACATGATTTTTACTTTATATGGATAATTAGTTCCTTGTAAGTTTTGAATTAATTGGTTGGATAGAATAATAATAGAAAAATATTGAACACGTTGAAATATTAAATATGTAAAAAATTAAAGATTTAAAGATATAAAATTGAAAAGAAAAAGGTGAAATATTTATAAGAAAATTCTAAAATAAGAAAGATTTTTAGCACATGTGGACCCATAATCTTGGCTAATCTTCATTCCACATTTTCAAGAAATTGTGTGTAATTTTATCATGTCATGATTGTTTCATGCATCAATTTATTTCCTCTATTACTCGACGAACTGCTGCTCTCATTTCCATTATTTTTCCAATTTCTTAAGGGAAAATGCGCTTCGTCACTGTAGATTTCGTTCGGCGAAGTGTTGTAGTTTCGTCATGCAAACTTTTTTAATGGCTCTATCAAATCCAAATATCTGAAATTTCGATCCGTCAGATCACACTATTTCATGCCAATCATTAAATGTCCAGTTCTTATATTTTTTTCTGCAAAGTTTAATCACTGTTGTCAATTTTTTTTTGACAATAATGATTTCTTTCTTTTTACCCATACTACGTATAGTACAGACATTCGTTCTGATTTTTATTGATCCTGGAGTTGAATTGCATTGAAACATTCACCTATCATAATTTGACGAACAAATGTTCGTTCATTTTTTCATATTTACATAGGTTAAAACGTTTAAATAAACATATTTGTGCTCTCTTATCAAAAGAGCAAAAAAGCACCGGTGTTAGATGAAATAATCGCGTGTTAAGGACAATCGAGTCTAATATTTGTGCGTTTGCCATGCGATTGATGACACAACTATGACAAACGCTCTGGTTTAATAAGTCAAATATGGGAAGAACCTTACCTGTGCTTGACTTTTTCAATACAAACAAATGCTATCGCTACATGTATGCTGCCAAATACGTATTTCGAAACCACATTCAAATATATTTTTTATCGTTATATGCACATGTATGTGCGTGAATTGTAATACAGGAATTTGTAGAACGTAATCTGTTCTCCATCACTATTTATAATACATGTACCAGTTAGTGTTACCAGACTCACTTCATTTGATACTATTCTATTAATAGTGATGGTCAGTTTTTGAAATAAATATTACCATTTTTGATCTGGTTTATAAAATTATGCCAACCAGTGTCAAAATATGCGTCAGTGTATTATAGTTTTGTCTTAAATTTCGATATCAAAAGATAACGATGAGAAATATATTTTTTTTAGGTAACGTTAATAACTGGTATAGTAATGATAGAATATCAAAAAAAGGAAGTTTGTCCATGTACATGTATAAAAGATGTTAAGATCGATACTGGCAGGCGCATAAATTTGTATGACATGTTCGTATACGGAAGAGGTGTTGCTTTTTGTTGAAGGCCAAATCAACTGTTGGACATTGTCTTTCAAAGAAAATATTAAAAGAAGAATAACAGATCTATTAAAGTTGTATCTGAATCAAAAAAAAATTACAGAGAATTTAAAGCGTTTTCTCATACAAATGCATAGAATTGAAAATTCCACTAGTTACGTAACGTTAACGGTAAATTGTAAAATGATTATTAGATCGCAGAATTTTCCTCGGATCATTTTTGTTCCAAACAGGTATTTTGATTTTAATCTGTTTGTTACATAATTTCCAAGTTTAGAAAATCGATATTCAAGTGCAGGATTAAAAGAGCTTTCACAGTATCGGTATCGGTATTACACGTTTCTATACATGATATATATCACATGTATATGAATTCACTCTGATATATATCGCAGTTAATCTTCTCAAAAAAATAACTCCCAAAAAATGGGCACTCGTTCGATTGAAGGGTAGGTTTAATATAGACGAAAAACAAACTGCTGTTAGAACTTAATATAATTTAATTATGGATTTAAATTTTATGGATTTATAGTCCAACAACAGGCTTCGACCTTGACACCAATGTGGCCGCAACATCCGACACTGTTAATGATGAGGTGAAATCCGAACCTTGGTACAAGAGTTGGCTTTCTTATCCAGGAAAATTGTATAGTGATTTTGTTACGGCTCCGACAACATTGAGCAATCATAAACAAATTGCGCTTGCTTTGAAAAAACTTGATGACCAAGCGAAGGAATGTAATAAAGATAACAAACTACATCCTGAATTGGATTGGGATGCGACTGTAAGGTGCGTTGTTTTATCAGAAATATATAATGCATAGCACAGTGTTGGGTTTTGATTGTCCAAAATCTAAATTGGACTTTGGACTAGTCAAATCAATTAAGAAAACATTGGTGGAGATATTGCTGTTTAAAGATATTCCGATTTTTAATACAGCTGACTGTATTATCCTAATATTTGATAATCAAATCATGGTCCAAAACCTCTTGATAATTTTTGGTTTTTGATAAGGTTATTGGACAATTTTGGTCATTTGTTCAAAATTGTCCAATTGTCCAATTCCTCAACACTCTCAAAACACGGCTAAATACTAGTTTTCTTATAGGGTTTCATTGGATTTGTGCGAAGATGAAAAGAATTTTATACGCGAACGTAAAGAATATATACGAGATAAATTTGCTAAATATGTTGGCGTCGATACAAATGAAGTGGAAATTGAAGATATCCCAACAATTGCTTTTGCTGGAAGTGGAGGTGGATTTAGAGCAATGTTAGCAACTACTGGTAAACATTCAATTTTTTATTGATTGTAATTATCGATACTATTCTAATGTGTCTAACTATGAAAAAAAAAGGTTATGCTCATGCAGCTTACGATTCTGGAATATTGGATCTTGCAACTTACATAGCAGGCAAGTACTCTTTTAAATTAGCTTAGCATTAGAATCTTACTTTAGAACACATTTTGTTAATACCGATACATGTAGGTGTGAGCGGAAGTTGCTGGAACATTGCATCACGTTACACTGACAACGTACCCTTAAATGAGCATCCGTACGAATGTTTAATCAACTTCTACAAAATTCGTCTCGCATTGCCATTTGCACATCCAAGTAGTCTATTGAAAATATATGAACAAACAAAATCCCCAGAGACAGCGGTTGAACTCACTTTTGGAGGGGTCGCACAAAAGAGGCAGACGGGAATTGACTGTGGTCCTATTGATGTATTTGGCTCGTTGCTTGCTTCGAGTCTTTTGCTTGGTAATGACCCCATTTCTCAACATCCCGATTTCAAATTAAGCCAACAGAAACGATTTTTGGAAGGTGGAAAGAATGCGTTGCCAATTTATACCGCGTATGTATATTAGCTCTTTGAAATAAGTAGTCGTCTCAATTAGAGTTGCTTTACTATTGTTAAACCTATATTAAATAAAATATAGACTCCATCACTGTCGTCCATGGAAGCATATCCTTCCTCCGGAAGATGCAGCTCTTGTTCCCAATTACGAGGAATTATTAAAAGAACATCAAAAACAAAAAGATCATTATCTTTGGTTCGAATTCACTCCATTTGAAGTCGGCTGCGATGAATATCCTGGTAAGTTATTACAATTAATTTATTAATTAATTTATCTAATTATGATGTTATTATTAAATAATAAATAAATATAGCATTTATTCCTTCATGGGCATTCGGGCGACGTTTTGAATTCGGAAAAAATGTGGAAAAAATACCGGAACAAAACTTTGGATTACTTGTGGGGTAATTATTTTATTCGCTCATTGTAATTTAGTTTAATTGGTATATATATTAATTTATCTATTTATTGTAAATAAAGCGTCTTCGGTTCTGCTCCTTCTGCACCTCTTGCATCTGCACTTAAACAATTTGAATATGGTTTGCCAAACGGATGGCTCAGAGATACATGGAAGCAAGTGTATTCAACGGTAAGCATAATTTGATTATTTAGCCGATTTAATACGTTCAAAAAACTAACTTCTTCATTTCCAGTCTACGAAAAGATTGAGTGATCATCATAAAAGTGAATTGGAATCATTCCGCACAATACCACAGGCTAGAAACTACAACTTCGCTTATCATCTTCATCGGCCTCCATATGAACTTGGCACTACAAATGGACCTTACCTTGATTTTGTAGATTCCGGAGCGTCAAGCGATCTTCCTATGTATCCATTAACACATCCAAATCGTAAGATTGATCTTATTATTGCTGTTGACGCCTCGACCTCCACAATAGACCACAAATACTTTGATGAACAACAAGAATTCATATGCTTCCGTCGTGGACTAACGAGAACCCCGCGTGCCGGTATGCCAAATAACAAGTATGTCGAAGTGTACGATTATACACCGAATGGTAAAGAACGAGATGGACACACGCCAGCAGCCACTCATGACACAACGTTAGTTTATATGCCGTTTTTAGCAAACGAGAAAGTTGATAAAGATTTCATACCAGCCACTAGCAAGGTCTGCGCGTTTAATTGTTTTACTTATACTCCAGAAAACGTGGATTTGGTCACGAGATTGGCGAAGCAGAATTGGAGTGAAGTAGAAGAAATTGTAAAGTCTGTAATAAAAGATGCATGGGAAAAAAAGAAAATTGCAAGATTGAATGCTAAAAAATAGTAAATTTAAGATGCGAAATTCAGTGCAATAATTCAAGTATACGTATTTATCGTTAAATATTCTATTATTCTCTTAGTATATTTGTGCTTTTAACTTGTATATTGTTCGATTATAAATAAAATTTTATTGATTTTTTAACGTTAACGTGAATTTTTAAATTGAAGCAATGGCTTGTAACTTGTTGCACGCAATCCTCAAGAGTCCAAAGATTTCTAATGTTTTATTGTATTTGAAGTTATGCAAACTTGATGGAATGCTAAAGTTGCGGTTGCAACTTTATTCAATATATGACGATAACGATTTTTGTCAAAGGTTCATTAATTTGTGGATTCAATAACGATAATATAAATTATTAAATTATCGTTATCGCGTAATTTTTTGAAATTCAATTCATAACGATAACGATAACGATAATTGCTGTTCTGTACATACTGATACTAATACGTATATTTGTTGACTGCAGAAAAGTATCTATTTAAACTTTGATATACGTACGTAGTCATATAAAGAATGCTATCATTTTTACAAAGCATAATCTATTTGCAAAATTCTACAAAATAAATAACTAATACAAATTGACAATTAAAATTAATCTCTTGAATATACAATAGCGATAGTATCAATTTCTTGAATATTTGAAAAAGCGTCTTTTTAATAATCATTCTGAGCATCATTCATCAAATACCGCACTTCTTCATTAAGCCTATTAGCTGTCCGATTTTTTGGTTCTATTTTCAAAACTTTCTCCAAATCTTTCAGTGCCTTTTCAAACTCTTTTTTATTCCGATATACAGTTGCACGTTCAATCAATCCATCTACATCTTCCGATGTTTCCATTGCTCTATCTAAATCCGCTAATGCATCATCGAGTTTTCCAAGGGCTGCATAAATTCCTGCACGGTTCTTCAATGCTTTATTTTGGTATGATTGATCGAAGTCATCTTCAGGATGGCAACTTAACACTCGTTCGAAATCAGATAATGCGTCCTCGTATCGCTCCATTGATCGATATAAGGCGCCACGTGACGCTAATGGAAACCATTGCGCGGTGTTTGTCGATAAACTTTTGTTAAAGTCTTTTAAAGCTTTATCGTGATATCCAAGCGCGTGATTCACCTCTCCACGATAACAAAGTGTCCATACATTATCCGGATCAAGTTGTAATGATTTATCTAGATCGTTTAATGCTTCTTCGTATTTTCCGAGAAGATAAAAAATATTTCCGCGACACCGTAACGCAAATGTATTGTGTGGATCACGCTTCAAGGTTTGATCATAATCTGCAAGTGCATCGTTAAATCTATTCATCGATTGATAAACTCGCCCACGTGTGCATAATGCAAAAGCATCATCAGGCTCATAGCGTAAAGAGCTCGTAAGGTCAGATAATGCTTCAGGGTAATTTCCTTGAACTCGGTAAATATTTCCACGTATTCTGAGAACAAAAGCATTTTTTGGATCCATTTCGTGAGCCGTATTAAGATCCTGTAACGCTTCTTGATGCATTCCACACATTCGATATGCAGCTCCACGAATTCGGAGTGCAAAGTCATTATTTGGTTCTAAAGCTAGGACTTTTGTCAAGTCTTTTATCGAATCTTGGTAAAGGCCGAGCATTCGACATACTTCTCCTCGATTTGAAAGTGCAAATGTGTTATAAGGATCAACTTCAATAACCTATTAAACCAATCCAATCAATATCAAATGGTAAAGACATAAAAAATCTTAATATTGAATTTAGTATAATGCTATCTAACCTTATTCAAATCGCTCAAAGCGGATTGATATTGTCCCATAAGTCTGTAAACTTCTCCACGGTTGCGTAAAGCGAGTTTATTTTCTGGCTCTAAGGCCAACACTTTTGCTATTAACAATATAATAAAACTATATAAATAAAAAGTGTTTAAAAGTTAAGAATAAATGCCAATTACTAGCCTAAATCAGCCAAAGCATCTTCAAACCGTCCAAGTGATTGATTAATTTCAGCACGATTCAAAATTGCGGTAATGTGGACCGGCTCAATTGACAAAGCATTATCTATATCTATTAATGCTTTTTCTAGCCGATTAGTCAAGTAATATATTCTCGATCGAGATCTTAATACAGAAGCATTTTTCGGCGTAATCTTCAATGCGACATTTAAATCTGTCAGCGCCTCTTCATATCGATTCAAGGCATAATAAACTTTTCCCCTCGTTCTTAATGCGAATCCATTGTTCGGTTTCAATTCGAGGGCTTTGTTGAGGTCATTTAACGCATCCTCATATCTTTCGAGTAAATAATAAAGCCTACCGCGTATACGAAGTGCAAACGCATTATGAGGTTCAATCGATATAGCACGATTGAAATCAGCTAACGCTTCTCCGTATTTATCGTTAATATAATATATCTGTCCTCGGGTTCTTAATGCGAAAACATCGTAGGGCTTGAGATTTAACGCTTCATTCAAATCTTGTAATGCTTCATCATATTTATGCTGAAAATCGTAAATTCGAGCTCGTGTTATATATGCGAATGTATTCTTTGGATCTATTTCGAGAGAACGCTGCAAATCTTCTAGCGCTTCATTATATTGTTCAAGTGTGCGATAAATTTCTCCACGATTCGCTAACGTTAATGCGTTATCTGGTTCAAGTTTCAATGATTGATCCAAATCAATAAGTGCTTCTTCATTACGATGTAAAAGTCGGAAAACTTCGCTCCGATGATGAAGAGCAGATAGATTTTCTGGTTGTATTTCTAAAATTAAGTCTAAATCTGCTAAAGCATTTTCGTACTGTTTTAGCCGACGGTAGACATTCCCTCGTTCTGTTAATGCCGGAATATTTTCTGGCTGGAATGATAGTGACTTGTTGTAACACTTTAAAGCACTGTCGTAATGATTTTGAGCACGAAATACGTCACCCAATTGATTGTATGCTTGTACGTTTGTTGGTTCACCATGAACTGCCTTTGTCAAATCATCTATAATTATAAAATAAATTGAGAAATTAGAAAGTTCGAGATTTTCACACACATTTAAAAAGGTATAATTTACCAATTGCTTCGTCGTAATATTCGAGTTTATAATAAACTTCACCACGAATATGAAATGCAAAATAATCGGTATCATCAATCTCTATGGCTTTTGTTAAATCCTTCAACGCATTTTCATGTTGATTCAACACACTATAAACAGCACCTCGACTAGCCAATGCTTTAGCATTTTCGGAATCAACTTGCAAAACTTTATTAAAATCATTCAACGCCTCATTATACCTGTCCACATTATGAAACAAATCGCCGCGATTCTGTAAAGCATGCACATTCTCCGGATCTATATCTAAAGCTTGTGTCATATGCGCCAATGCTAAATCTGTGAGTCCCATCATTGCATAAATATACCCGACGTCAGTAAGCGCATAAGGATCATTAGGATCTTTTTCGAGACGTTGAACGTTTTCGGATAGAGATTCGTTTAGACTTGATGTCGGCTGCTTGGGCAACACGGACATTCGACGAGAATTTAGATTTATTGATTGCGTTGTCTGGCTTGTGGGATTTGAAACGTCTGACATTCGGGATAGAGAGAACGTGGTTGAACTTTCTGTCTCCTATTCAAATTGCATTAAAATATAATGTTGAGATAATTTGGATATGAATAATTTTTATTTATTTCCTTACCTCCTCCTGTTGATGGAAGTATATGCTCATATGCCGCTCCATTTTGTTTTAATTGTTTACTGGCAAGGATATTGGTGTTTTTTTCAAAGCGATAAAAAGTGATAGAATGCTATCAAAAATTTGTATTTTTCGAAAGCGCTATAATATTATTAAAAAATTTAGGCACAGACACACAAATACTCAAATAACGACGAGGCTGTGCGAGCAATGTAGTGCATGTAATTTGTTTGCGTGACGTGACACTATCACTATGACAATGTGGTCCATTATTTGTCAGAATGCAACTTTATTTTTTAGTTGAGGCGTATGGTGCATAACATCTAAAGTTATCAAACGTTTGTATTTTATAAAATGGATAAACTTCACTAAATTTAATCCGTGAAGATGATAGAATAGGCTTTTTCTGAGCATATTTACGGATTAAATCTTGTATTTACTTTTTAGTAAGGAAGTTTATCCATTTTATAAAATACAAACGACGTTTGATGACTTTAGAAGTACGTAAATACTCCTTCTGATAAAATAGCTACGTACGTAGTTTTGACGGACTTAACATATTCTGTACATGAATGAAATATGCGTAATCTACGATTTCTTGACCTAAACTGAGCCGAATAATACGTATCGGTATATATCACAAATAGAATACGTAATCAGATTTTTCGATATTTCTTTCGTATAAATCATTATCGTTATGCACGTCTTTTAAATGAATTACGTTATATTGATATGTTTTCTGTTGAAGTCAAATTATTAGCGGAATTAGTAAATTTTACTGCGTTGGCGTATCGTTGGAACTGTATTTTGCTTTAAAGCATCAATGGAAATTGATACATGTACCTAAAGTTGCTAAATATGGGAATTTTCATTAACTGCAAGGCAACTTTTATTTTAGATGAGCGGTCGTCGGGAACAATGCCAGTTGATGTCATCTCATTACTCGTGAACCTTTGACAATATTTCGATTGCACTAATAAGGCAATCGATTTTATTCAATATTCGATATTTAATATTTATTTTTTAACAATATAATCGAATCAGTGTATAGATTTAGAAACTAAAACATTACTTATATAATTCTTTGTTGCCACAATACAAAAGGCCCTCGTTAGAAATGGTTAAAATGATGTGAACATAACGATATTCAAAAACAACTTGATAAATCCCGCTTAGAAACGACTTGGTAAATCCACAGACGAACAGTCAAGGTCTCATAATAACGATGGGATGAAAAATATTGTTGCAGAAATCCTTAAACTGTCTCTGAATGTGTTGCTTCGAAATAGACGAAGGGTATAATCCTTTTTTGAAAAAATATTTTTGTCATATTTAAGATTAAATTATTACATTTACAGCAATATTCGTAAACTATTCGTTTTAATATACCCGGATATCTATGTACTTTGAAATAGGATATCCGGGGGGTTAAATTTTGCAAAAAAAATTGGATGAAATATGTTGGCAAATGAATGCTATTGAAAACAAATTTATATTAAACTATTAACGTTACGTAATTTAAATCGAACAAAATCATATCAGCGCACCTGGTTGATCAAACCGGTATTGTTTTTGGGTGACCCGGTGAACTGAATCCGGTCCTATTCTCTACTCCAGGGTGCTTAATAAGCACCATGGAGGTTTTTACAAGGTCTACAGAATAAAAAGTTTTGAAATATGTATTTTTTTAATCACCTTCCCCTTTTTACCAGTTAATTGGCTTGGTCTGGCCTCATTGAAACATGATTCTTTTCTCTACTGGTATTTTCTATTGAGATACTGCCGCGCCCCCTTTTTATTAATAAGCAATTCGTGGCCTAATTTTTATAAGTAATGAGGTGTGTTAATAGCAATATACAATTAACGTTAAATATATTATCAATTAAGTAATGATGATTCAAGTCATCGAGATGACAATCATTTAGAAAGTTGTCAAAGGTAAAAAAACATAAGTAGATTAATAATTTATACTAGCTAATTTAAAATTATTTACATATTGTGAAGTAAAAAAATCATAAGGCCAACTGGAACATGTTCTAGTAGGGCTTTCTTACTACGTAATAATATTATAAAAATCATCTTTTTAAAAAGCGAATTAGTGTAAACCTAGTCAGATGGCTAACCATTTCCTTGGATTTTTTATATAAATTCTTGACATTATCGATAGTAGTTAATTGATTATTTGCGTATTTTTGATAATACGTACAAAGAAAGATCCGGATTTGTAGACTTAATCACTTTATTTTAAACAAAATACGATTATTTGCTAGTCCTGATTTATTTTTCTATCAGCGGGAACAAAGCAAATTTATCAACGCATCAAACTTTAAAAGTTCAAGCCACTTAAACTGGAAAAACAGCCATTATTGACAAATTGAAATACAAAAACCGGTTTGGAATTCGAAACATGTTATGTAGCCCTGGTTAAAGTGAGCCAGTAATTGAAAGCAAATTAATTTCGAATATTTCTAATACAATGCTCGCCATAGATAATGAAAAAAATATGCCTTTTTTATTTTTGCATTATAAATAACATCTTATTTCTATTATTCTCGAATATTTGATCTTAATTTTGATATAATGCTATAAATTTAATTAAAAAATTTTCTTTTTTTGGCTTTTTTATAACATTTTAAGCTACTAAGTTGCCTTAAGAAAACTTGTTTGCAATATATCAAAGTATATATATTTAAATTTTTATATGTTTTCGATCAATTTTCATGATGTAATAAAAAAACTACCATTTAGATTAATTGACTTAGTTTCGTTTATAATGTACTATCAGGATTTGATCAGATAATTGGAAGTACGTAATTACAATAAGTTATTCGATAAAGTAGTCTTAAATAAACTTGATCGCAATATATGAAACCGTATATCTGCAAATTTTCATATATTTTCATTTTTTTATAGCAAAATAGGAAAAACAGCATTCTCGCTATATATAGACTTTTAACTTTTAAAATTAGCTACAAAATATAACAATATAATTGTTAAACGAAATCAATTTATTTTTTATTTGAATTGCATTACCGTATTTATTTATAAACTAGCATTTTTTAATAACATATAATAGAAATCAACTAAAAATATATCCTGAGCATTAAAGTACAAAATATAGATTCAAAAGAAAATAAATATCAGCCGAAAAAATATTACGTATGTAGCTAAAATTATCATCATGCAAACTCATTTCTGCGCCACCAATAAATTTGAATATTTGATAATAGTTCAGCTTTCGTAATAAAAAAGAACGAATCCCAATTATTCTTGTTCGCTGGAAGATTATAAACAAATAAACTTTCCAAAAGTAATCAGCAGGAGTTTTATATGATATCACGTGATAAAACGAACGAGTTAATAGTACATATAACGATAACATTGTTTAAAGTTCAAATGATCTTTCCATGAATATTAACTTTCCTTCAAAACCAATGTTTTTTGAAACTGCTGATCTTTTTAATTTCACTCATTACATAATGATAGAAATTAACTAGTACCCTAGTCACGACAAAACAAAGTGACTGTCACGTGATCTGAAAATAGGTCCATTAAAATATCCGATTAATATTGGATATCAAGTATTAGGGTTAGGGTTAGGGATAGAGCTGAGATCAAGTTTATATATAAAATTATCTTCCCGACATTTTTTGTTAGTGTGCCAAGCTAGATTTAGATATTTGTTTTTTGTAATTTTTCGCATTTTTTATCTTTTTTCATTTTCTTGCGCCGAGTTTGTTTTGCCGGGTTGATCAAAAATTTGCTACATTCCTATTGGTTGCGCGCATTTTTATTGGTTGGATCTGATCAACATCACGTGACAGTCACTTTGTTTTGCCATGGCTAGGGTACTAGAAATTAACGTTAATGCGCGATCTAAATACTGTTATATAATAACAGGTCTAATATATATGGATTTAAGATCAATAATACCAGGTGAATGGATTCTATATCGATATCCTCCTTCTCAGGATTTAAAATTAGTACGTGTATATCTGCATCAAAACAGCTTCCGACGGATCTGGTTCGACATCCCGAAAACCATAATCCCGAAAACCATAATCCCGACAAGCCATAAACCCGACAAACGAAATCCCGAATACACAGCATACCGAAAGTATGAAATCCCGAATACACAACCTACTGAAAGCACGAAAGCTTGAATGAACAGCATACCGAAAGGACGAAATCTCGAATGAACAGCATACCGAATGAACGAAATCTCGAAAGGCAACGTCCCGAATGAACGATATACCGAATGCCCAGCATACCGAATGCACGTAATCCCGAATACACGAAA